ATTGGTCCTAGGACTTTGCAGGCTTTCTAATTATTCTATCCCTAAATAAGGGTGAACTCAAATGAGACTAGGGAGTATTTATACGTAAGAAAACACAGAAAAGGCAGAAGTTCAGGAATGAGTCAGAATTTCAATTAGAGACTGAACTTTGGTCCAGCAGCAAGCTGAGGGGTTGGTGGTGGAAAGGGAGCTAAATCTGGGACTTTCCTCATTAAGAAGGATCCCTCCAAACAGGCTGAAGTGGTCGCAGGTGGGCTAATGTAGGCTTAGTGGAGAGAGAGCCCCTTGCTTGCCCTACTCCCACTCACTCCTGAATGACCAAACAAATGCGCACTAGCAGTGCCTAAGACAGGGCGGAAATAACTAACACACAACAGATTTTGGCTCCACCCCACCCTGTGCAGGTTTTTCAGCTATTTTGACACTTTTTGATCATTTTTCAGAGTAAACATAAGAATGAGGGACTTTAATGCCATCCTTGTAGATTTTCCTGCACCATCCTGCCACCCTTCCATGAAGGGAAATTTATTTAGAAAACCTAAAATTTGCTGCCAAGAGTCAGGCTAATAGCAGGAGAAATGGTATGGACATTCTCAAAGGTTTTACAATATTGACTTATTTACAGTCCGTTTATCTTTTATCATTATGTTGCTTAAGTTACTACGAAGATTAATTCACATTTCCAAGTTTATCCATATGTTAAAATCATACTTCTTTTTACAACTGGTTTTCAGGGTCTTGAAAAATGAATTTTAAAATACATTTAAATTATTTTGTATTTTTATTATTGCCAACTGATGCTATTTTATATAAACTGACAGTATTTGTAATACCTTTCATGAAAGTTCCTTCCCTGTGCTTTTTTATCTTAAGCCATTCTTAGCTAACTTTTTTACACACCTTTCTGAAAGCAGCAAAAAACTGATTAAGGGGAGTCTCTGGGCCAACCTGAGGTTTAACTTTGAAATACTCCTGAGTTGCTATAGGAAAAACTTTCTACTGCTTTTATTTTGTTTATAGATTAAAATTAGCTAAATGAGCAAGTAGTAAATGGGAGTTGCTTAAAGAAGTCCATTTAACATTTTTGACTTGATTAATTTACAGTCTCAGTGTCAATTGACCTCTTTTTGGTAGAGAGCATGTGACTCTAGACCAGTGGTTCTCAACCTTCTGGCCCTTTAAATACAGTTCCTCATGTTGTGACCCAACCATAAAATTATTATTATTATTTTTTTTTAAAATATATTTTATTGATTTTTTACAGAGAGGAAAGGAGAGAGATAGAGAGTTAGAAACATCGATGAGAGAGAAACATCGATCAGCTGCCTCCTGCACATCTCCTACTGGGGATGTGCCCGCAACCCAGGTACATGCGCTTGACCGGAATCGAACCTGGGACCCTTCAGTCCGCAGGCCGACGCTCTATCCACTGAGCCAAACCGGTTTTGGCCATAAAATTATTTTCGTTGCTACTTCATAACTGTAATGTTGCTACTGTTATGAATCGTAATGTAAATACCTGATATGCAGGATGGTCTTAGGCGACCCCTGTGAAAGGGTCGTTCGTCCGCCAAAGGGGTCGCAACCCACAGGTTGAGAACCGCTGCTCTAGACAAACATGCAGCCACCCTAGGTGTATTGCTGCTTAAGAAAACTGCTGTAAAATAATCTGTTAGTACATGGGAAAAAAGATCTTGCTCTCGTGTGGTTTTCAGGGTACCAGAGGTTTGGTTGCTTGTGTTTCACTCAATTGCTTTCTGTTCATGAATAGGCTCACACCATGCATCACTACTTTGCAGACTCACTGCAAAGGAAATAGCAAGAGGTAAAATGACCTCAAGTGAATGTGGCTTTTTGTGGGTGGGCAGTGTTACAACTAAATAAACAAATTGTGTAGGAAGATCTTTATTTAACTCATCTTTATGTTCTTCTCACACTGACTTTTTTGGTGAACCACTCCTTATTCTTGAAACATTTTTATACTCATTAAGTTCATTGTAAATAAGTAGCATATTTACAATTAGTTATTTAGTTTTTTCGTAACCTTATTTTACCATTTTCCTGGTAAGTTCTGTTTTTCTTTTGGGCTGACAGTTTACTTCTGAGTATCTTTATAAGAGAGATCTGTAGGAAGAACGGCATTAACCCCCTTTTATCTCGTCATGTTAAATTCTTTTACATCTGCTTTTGCTAGTTTATCATGCAAGTTTCTGTTGTTTTGATCACACAATTGTTTCGTACTCAGAAAAATAAAAGTGATATTTATATCTCTCTACCATAAATCTTTCGGGTGGGTAGAATCATGGCCTTTTTTTCAGTTGAGCATTGAGTATGAGACATTATGATGATACGTTAAAGAAGTCCTTCATTATGTATGGTAATCTTGAAGTTATCTGTACTCTTAGAAGGCAGAAGGGAGTCTGGATATTTTATGTCTATGTTCATTGTAATACAGGCCATATTCACTTACCTAGGAAATTACCTGCTTGCCAGCTTATAGTCAGTGTCAGGACTGACTAAGTGTGGAGAAGGATTTGAGGTCTGGACATTTTAGAGACAATACATTTATTTTGTTTTCTGAAGGTAGCTCACAGTGTAATGATGGTAGTGGTTTGGGACACAGAATCTAACCAGACTGCTTGGAATCAATCTCCATTTCACCGCTGATTGCCGTGTAGCTTTGGGCAAATTACTTAACCTGCGAAGTCACCATTCCCTCTGCTGTAAGATGGAGACAATAGTAAGAATATCTACCTACTTCATGGACTAATTGAGAAGCTTCAATGAATTGATATGTGTAAAGCACTTAGTGCACAGTGGTTCTCAACTTGTGGGTCGCGACCCCTTTGGGGGTCGAACGACCCTTTCACAGGGGTCACCTAAGACCATCGGAAAACACATATATAATTATATATTGTTTTTGTGATTAATCACTATGCTTTAATTATGTTCAATTTGTAACAATGAAAATACATCCTGCATATCAGATATTTACATTACGATTCTTAAAAGTAGCAAAATTATAGCTATGAAGTAGCAACGAAAATAATTTTATGGTTGGGGGTCACCACAACATGAAGAACTGTATTAAAAGGACGCGGATTAGGAAGGTTGAGAACCACTGCCTTAGTGCCTGGCACATAGTAAAACTCGATGGAGATATTGTTATCAAGTCAATAAGCGTGACTCAAGGTGGGCCGATATACACTGAGTGGCCAGATTATTATGATCGTTCAGATTATTATGACCACCCCATCAGTACTTCGTTGGGCCACCTTTTGCCTTCAATACTGTGGCGATTCTTCTTGGCATTGACTCCACAAGATGTTGAAAGGTGATGCGAGGAATCTGACACCATGCCTGATGAGTAGCACTGTCCAGTTCTGTGAGATTTGATGGTTGTGGAACCAGCTGCCTAATGGCTCTTTTAACTTCGTCCCACAAATGCTCAATTGGATTGAGATCTGGTGATTGTGGGGGCCACCTAAGCAAGGTAAAGACTCTCTCATGTTCTTGAAACCACTCCTACACAAGAAGAGCACCGTGGCATGGCGCATTGTCTTGTTGGAAGAAGCCATCTCCATTGGGATACGCCATCAACATGATAGGACGAACTTGATCAGCAATGATACTTAGGTATGTTGTGCTATTCAGACGTTTATAATGGTCTGGCCCTCTAGCAACTTCAGCGCAAAATTATAGCTAATTTGCCTACAAACGTCAGGTGGTCATAATAATCTGGCCACTCAGTGTATGTTTCTCTGAAGGCGTTTTGAAAGAATAAAATGTCTGTGCTTGCGTCATCTTTCCTGTATACTGTCTGTCTTCCTGGGGAAACATTTCTTCTGTCTTAGCTGCTTCACGGCCCAGCTAAGCTGGGCTTCCTGCTGGAGTGACCACAGCAGGGAAGCTTGTCCTAGGAGACCACATGAGTGCCCCACTTGACTGGGTACAGGAGTTCTGCTGTAAAAGAAGAGTTTTGCGCCCTAGCTGGTTTTGCTCCGTGGATAGAGCGTTGACCTGCGGACTAAAGGGTCCCAGGTTCAATTCCGGTAAAGGGCACATGTCTGGGTTGCGGGCTCAACCACTAGTAGGGAGCGTGCAGGAGGCAGCCGATCAATGATTCTCTCATCACTGATGTCTCTATCTCTCCCTTCCTTTCTGAAATCAATAAAAATATATTTGAAAAAGAGAAGGGTTTTGCTTTTCTTATAAGGGCACCTAACGGAACAGGTGCCACCTCATCCTTGGGTACTCTAATGTTAAAAGAAGTGAATGTCCAAATAAAATTTATTGGGGTAGTGATTCATTTGTTCAACAAATCATTCTCTAAGTTTTATGTATGTGGCCTTAAGTTTGTAAAGACAAGGCTTTCCTGTGCTAAAAGTAGAGCTTTCATACTAACCGAAGGGAAAAACATGGAAACGATTGCTTTGTTCTTTCTGCTATCTCTGAAAATGACGTAAATGTAGTTTATTTTATGATTGTCCCCTTTGTACACTTAAAAGTTTTGCTGTGATTTGTTTTGTAGAGAAAGATCAAGAGGAAAAACTGATAAGTCCTCTCATCTTCTAAGTTTCTTGTTGATTAAAAGCTACATTTCTTAGAAGTAAAGAAATTACCTATGAATTTTGTTTCCCAAAGGAGTTAGTGAAATGTCACTATGAATTTATGTTGGCCTAAAATTTTTTTTGTTTATTTTTTTATTATGTAAGGTCTGTCTTACATTTTGTAAATAAATTTGTTCCTGGCAAGATATGTAAATTTCGAATTCTGTTTCCTATTGACTTAAAGGATTAAGAACCTGTGGAATTGCTTAGCCCTCTTACCCCCTTAAATACCTATTGAGAGAGCAAAGTCAGACAGTAGAACCTTCACATCTGTGCTCCCATAGTCCCTTATGCTAAACCTACTCTAGTACTTAACCACTTGGAAACTATAGTATCTTACCTATTCTAAGACACCTTGAAAATTTTTCTTATTTTAATCTTTGTAAATAGAATCATCTTCCAATTGATGACATCCTAGAGTCAACAGAAGATGGTATTCCTTTTTTTCTCTGGCCTCCTACATGACAGTGAGTAGACTTCTTGAGAGCAAGAACTGATGCTCGTTTATTTTTGCTATCTCTAGGTTTCTGGTTTGCATTTAGAGCCCTGCTTTTGCTGAATTTAGTGTAACAGTTTTTAGGATCATCTCAGTAAGTATAAGTTGAAATGAGAGTTTCATTAAGACACTTTTGCAGGGTGAGGCATAGAAAAACAGGGCCTGCAATGCTGATAGGTAGTTAAATGCTACTTCTACTTCCCCTTCTTTGTACCCCTTCTCTCTTTCTCTTTTGATTGATTCTCTTAAACTTTTGATTGATACATCCCTCACAGACAAAGCATTACTTTACCTGAATTTGTTGCTTTTAGCAGATGCCAGAGAAGTGAAAGAGTAAGAATGTAGTATTCTCATTTATGATATGCTCTTATGTTTTGGGCATCCTTTGGATATTGCACTGTGCCATAGTCACGTATATTATGTAAATGAGGAACAGGTGTAAGTGTGTTTAGGGACATAGTGTTTAGTATATAGCAATGGAAGAAAGGCCAGACTTCCTGCTCAAGGCTTCTGCTTTATAAGAATTTTCTTCTGAGTTACTATTTGTTGTTATTTTTATTAGTTTACAATTATCAATTTTATTTATAAACTAGTGGCCCGGTGCATGAATTCGTGCACATTGAAATTAGGAGAAATATTTTAATATCACTATTCACCCTTTCTCTGTAATAGAAGTGTCAACCAAATTCATGATTGACAATGACAGATCGAAACACATGCATGCAATTGGTGCCAGCTTTATATGTGTTGTGCATGCGTGAGTCAACTTAGCCTTTTATATATGTAGAATAAACTTGCTTAATTAGACCTGCTTTCTGATTTAGCTAAACTTTTTCTAAAGCACCTCAACTTCTCTTTCAGGTTATTGTCAGCAACACAGCAGTAAATATCAACACCAAGCAGATTATTATTGTAGATCACGCAGGGAGAACAAAGGGTAAAATATTTAACTGCAGCAGTGTTTGACTATACTCTGCGCAGTGAGAAAACCTGAAGTCATTTTCAAGGTCCATCATTTCTTCTTTTCAGTCAGGTCAAGTTTCTAAATTTCTAAATCTCTGTTTGCTGGCTAATGAAAAGCAAATAGGATTCCACCGAGTCTCCTATCTACCTATTCCAGGACTTCTGTGAGGATCAAATGAGATGAGGCATGGGAAAACACTTCATAGACATTTGGTTCAAGTGTAAAATGTTTCCACTTGGCTATAAAGTAAATCATGTTCCTGGGCGGAAGAAACTGCAAGGAGGCTAGTCGCTAGGGAGAGGAAGCCAGGTGTTGCTATGTGATGTCATTACCTGGACAGACACTTAGCATATTAGCCTTTTATATATACACAGACTAGAGGCCTGATGCACGAAATTCGTGCAAGGGTAGGCCTTCGCAGCCCCAGCTGCCTCCCAGCCCTGGCTGCTGGGGCCCTTGTGGGCCCTGGCTGCCTCATGGCCCCAGCTGCCTCGGGGCCCCGCCCCCTGCCTGCACCCATCTTGGCCTGGTGCTGCCCGTGTCTGTCGCCACACACCCTCAGTTCCCCAGTTCCGCGGAGCCCCCTGTTCATTCGCCCCACAGAGGGTGGCCTGGGCCTCCCTCTTTGGGGCGATCGCAGAACTTCCCCCCATGGATCACTCCTCCGGTCGGTGACCTGGGCCTCCCTCTGTAGGGTGATTATGGGGCGATGACCCTCCACCAATCGCATTGCACCCGCCTTGGCTGGCCTGGCGCCAGTGTGTGTCATAGTGTGGCCGACCGGACTGACGTTCTGCTGTTCGGCCGTTTGGAGAATTTGCATATTATACTTTTATTATTATAGATAGTTCTGTGATTATGAGACTTTGGGTTTGCATAACCTTATCACAACAAATCAACTGTTTGCTTGGAAAGGTGGGGTAGATCTAGTCTCCCTTTATCTTGCTCCTGAGTACCATAATTATCATTCTCGTGAATCTAGATGTAATCTTAGTGCTAGAAGAAACTGCTTAGTGGCTTTAGTTGTTTTCCTTGAGTTACAGGTGGGTGGTTAGAAAAGTCTTACGTAGGGTCCCTTAGTTAGAAATGACTGCCATGTAAGTTGCTAAGTTGCTTTTGTTTGTTTCTTTAATCCTCACCTGGTGCTATGTTTTTACTGATTTTTTAAAAATATATTTTATTGATTTTTTTACAGAGAGGAAGGGGGAGGGATAGAGAGTTAGAAACATCGATGAGAGAGAAACATTGACCAGCTGCCTCCTGCACACCTCCTACTGGGGATGTGCCCGCAACCAAGGTACATGCCCTTGACCGGAATCGAACCTGGGACCTTTCAGTCCGCAGGCCGACCCTCTATCCACTGAGCCAAACCGGTTTGGCTGATTATTTTATTTTTTTTTTTAAAGAGAGGGAGGTGGGGAGAGAGAGAGAGAAAGAAAGAAACGTTGATGTGAGAGGGAAACATCAATCAGGAGTACATGCTGTGACCGGGGATTGAACCTGCAACCTACGTATGTGTCCTGACCGGGAACCAAATCCATAATCTTCTTGATGTACAGGACGATGCTCCAACCATCTGAGTCACCCTGCCGGGTCATGTAAATTCTTTTAATGCACTTTATGTTGTGAGTTTTAGATATATAGATAAAGCAGTTTCCATATACTTGGTACCCAGTTTCCTTATTAACATCTGACATTGTATGGTACATTTGTTCTAATTAATGAACCCACTAACCCACTAATTCAGGTTTCCAAAATTTTTACCTAATATTTTTTTGCTCTGGGATCTCATCATGATACCACATTATATTTAGTTGTCATGTCTCCTCAGGCTCCTCTTGGCTCACTTTCTTGTTTTTGGTGGTCCTGACCATTTTGAGGAATACTTGTCAGATATCCGTAGAATGCCCATCTATTGGACTTTGCCTGTTTTTCTCATGACTGGACTAGGATTCTGGATTTTAGAAGGAAGACCACAGAGGTCAAGTGCCATTTTCATCACATCACATCTAGGGCACAAAACTACCATGATTTATGACTGTGGATGTTGACCTTGATCATCTGGGTGAGGTAGTGTTTGGTTTCTCCACTGTAAAGTTACTGCTTTCCTTGCCACCTCCTCCCCATATGGTATTCTTTGGAAGGAAGTCATTATGTGCAGTAGAGTTGCTTTGTAATTTTGTATAAATATTTAAATGGCAGAACAATTTAAATATGTACCCGGAGTTAGTGAAATATTTGCTTTTAATAAACTATCACTGTTTAGAACGTTAAGAGATGTGCCTACAGTTAGAGATTTGTTTTGGCAAAATTTTTCAAGTTTTTTAAATTTCTTAGTGCTTCAACCTTTTTTATTATGTGGCAGCTGTTAGATGTTCCTCTTTACCTAATTCTTGTTCTATCTATTTGATACTTATTTTTGGGAACATAAAATGAAAGGGACATGTAGGGGATCATTAGTCAAAAACTTGAATAATTAAAAAAAATATTTTGATCATCATTTGTTGCTTTTCTGCACTTAAAAATATTTCTAAAATTGAGGGCTTAGTTGCTATGTAAATTATGATTAGAGACCAGAACAGTTTAGGACCCAAAATGATCAAGGGAAAGCACCTTGTCGGAAACCCCCATGACAATAAACCTCTCCTTGTAGTTCCCATTTGTGTGTTTCAATTATAAGGCTTATGTTAAAATTAGATCATAATTTCCATTGTAGACTCTCAATTTCATGGTTGTGTAACTGCCATATAAACTTGATTGTAAACAGAGGCCTTTAATGATGGGCTTTATTCGAGCAATTTAAGAAAGGGGTATTCAGATCCAAGGGTAGAAAATATATGCCTAATTTTACATTTTAAATTGTGAAGAGAGGCTTTGATTTTAAGGTGAGTTTGAGCCTGGTTGATGTGGCTTAATGGTTGAGTGGAGACCTATGAACCAGGAGGTCACAGTTCGATTCTCTGTCAGGACACATGCCTGGGTTGTGGGCTCAAGCCCCTGTAGGGGGCGTGCAGGAGGCAGCCAATCAACAATTCTCTCTCATCACTGATGTTTCTAACTTTCTCCCTCTCCCTTCCTCTCTGAAATCAATAAAAAAATATTTTTAAAGGTGGGCTTGAAAATATTTTTCTTACAATTTTCTATTTTCTGCGATGAGATGTATTATTTCATAAGAAAAAAAACTAAAAAATAAAATTAACTTGTTAAAGCCTTGAGACTTATTATCTTTTAAAACAAATAATTATTTTGACTTCTTTCCAAAAACTACTAGAATCTTAGAACCAATTTAAATCCATTTACCCTTTTTTATTTTTGTTTTGTTGACTAACTGAATCTCTCTAGTTCAAAGAATGAAATTCACTTCATGTATCTATGAATTACCTTTGAGGTAAATTGTAGTGCTGGTATTGTGAAGACTGTTCAGTATTTGAGTTCCAGTAGTTAGTGAGAAGAACAAAAATTCTGTTTTGTCATATACTCTTTTTGGGCTTATAAACTGCAGAAAATAATTAGAAGAATGAGGAGTTCAAATTTTATAGGTGAGTATTCATTTCCTAGGTCTGCTGTAACAAATTACCACAAACTTCAGAGCTTCAAACAATAGCATTTTTTTTCTCCCACAATTCTGGAGACCAGAACCCTGGAATCGAGTTGTTGAGAAGGTTGGTTCTCTCTGGAAGCTTTGAGGGAGAATGGGTTCCATGTGTCTTTCAGTTTCTAGTGATTGTTAGCAGCCTATGCATTCGTTGGCTTTCATTCCCATCTCTGCCTCCGGCTTCATATGGCCTACACCCCCCTCCCCCCCCCCCCCCCCCCCCGCGCGCCTCGCCGGGGCCTTCTCTCAAATCTCCCACTCTTTTCTCTTATAACACAGTCATTGGATTTAAGTCCAGGATGATCTCATCTGGAGATCCTTAACTTAATTGCATTTACAAGGATCCTCTTTTTTTTTTTTTAATTTTTTTTTAAAATATATTTTATTGATTTTTTTACAGAGAGGAAGGGAG